GCGCGTTCCGGGGCGCCCGCAGCTGTTGGACTGCGGTGATTTGCTTTGGGTCGACCTCTATGCCGCGCTTGGTTATCATGAACCCGAGGAACTTCCCCGCTTCCGCTCCGAAAACACACTTGAGTGGGTTGAGGCGAAGGCTGTGCTGGCGGAGAGCTTCGAAAGTCTCGCGCAGGTCCTGCAGGTGTGACTTGCCCGCTTTCGTTTTGACGATGAGGTCGTCTACATATGCCTCGATGTTCCGCCCGATCTGTCGCGAGAAGACCGTGTCAATCATTCTCTGATACGTCGCGCCCGCGTTCTTTAACCCGAACGGCATCCCCACAAAGCAGAAGTTTCCAAACGGTGTCATGAACGACGTCTTTTCTTCGTCTTCCACTGACATGGGGATCTGGTGGTACCCGGAGAACATGTCGAGGAAGGATAACGTCTCGTGATCTGCGGTTGCGTCGATCAGTTGGTCGATGCGCGGCAGTGGATAAGGGTCTCCTGGGCACACTCTGTTGATCGTGGTGTAGTCAACGCACATCCGCCAGGCCCCTGATGATTTCTTGACCAATACCACATTTGCCAACCACTTTGGATATTTTACGGGTCGGATTAGCCCGGCTGCCAGTAGGCGCGTCACCTCCTCTTCTATCGCCTTTAGCTTATCGCCCGTGAAGGACCTCCGCCCCTGTTGCCTTGGCTCTGCGTTGGCTGGCACTGCAAGGCTATGTTGGGCTACCTCCCTGGGCACTCCTGGCATGTCTTCCGTGCACCACGCGAACAGTTCCTTGTACTCCTTCAGCAGTGCCACGAGTGGCTCGATTGCGTCACTGCTGACGTGAGTGGAAATGCGTATCTTCCTGGTCGGCTCAGCTGGATCTAGCGCGACCTCAAAATCGGAATCCATCGACTCCGGTCGGGGTTCTTCCGCCCTTGTGTCGACGATGTTGGTTTGTCGAGTCACGACGCGATCTTCCCATGTCGTTCCCCGGGCTTCTCCCACTCCTCTCTGTGTTGGGAACTTGAGTTTCTGGTGGCAGGTTGATGGGAGGGCCAGGAACTTCGCAAGGAATGGCCGGCCTAGAATGCCGTTGTGCGCCGATTCGCAATCGACAATCGTGAATTCTACCTGTTTTGAGGCGCGAGGCTCCTGGTCGCCGACCACCACAGGGAGGGTGACCACTCCAATGACCGGGACTTTAGTCCCGGAGAAGCCCACTAGGTTGCCATGCGCGCGCCTGATTAGGCGCCGGTCGATGTCCATTTTGTCAATGGTACTCTGGAAGAGGATGTCAGCCGCGCTACCTCCGTCTACCAGGAGGCGGTGGGTCTTGCAGGCGGAGATTAGCGCGGTGATAATGAGCGGCTCCTCTGATGGGGTTCCTTGTGGGAATTCCGCGTCGTCGAAGCTCAGGTTGAACCTTGCCGGCGCGTCGGTGGTCGCGCACTCCATCGCGCGCTCCCGTTTGGTTTTCTTCTGGGGGCGGTCTCCTTCGACCGTCACCACCCCAATTTCCTTGCGCACTACATATGCGCCAGTGTCATCGTTATATTCAGCTTGGGGCGGTGGCGGCGGCGGGTGCTGTGGGTGCTCAACTTGTTCTTTTTTCACGTGAACAAACTCGGTCAGCAGCCCTCGCTGTATGAGGCCCTCTATTTCGTACCTCAGGTCTCGGCACTCTTCTGTTCGGTGCCCCGTTGCTCTGTGGAATTCACAATGCCTATGTGGATCGCGCATGTAGGGTTGGGATTTCAACGGGGCAGGCCAGTTGATCTTGTAACCCTTCTCGCGAAGGACATGGAACACATTCCTCATTGAGTCATTAAGGGGAGTGTAGGCGTTATGCGCGCGCCTGTCCGGCGATCGGCCGCGTTGCGCCTGCTCTGGTGGGGGAGGAGGGGCACGCTTCGGGCCACTGTGCATCTGTAGCAAGTGGTCTCGTGGGATCACGGCTGGAGGCTGACGACGCGCCTGTTCTTCTCGTGGCATTTTCGCCGGCTCAAAGCGCCTGACGGACCCTGCCCCCAAGGTTTCTTCCAACGTGATCGCCTTTTCGATCTTCATCTCCAACTCTGTCGATAGCGTGACGGGTCTCTTGGCCAACGCCCGCTTGAGCTCCATATTGTTGGTGGCCTCCATGAGGTGATGGGCGGCTGTTTCGGGGGTGAGGTCGCGGACGGCCATTGCTATCCTGGACCATCTGGCATAGAAAGTTCTCAGGTTTTCTCCATCCTTTTGCCTGATATCTATCAGGGCCTTGAGGTGGAGCGGGCGCCGTTTCTGGGACGCAAACTTCGTTGTGAACAGGAGTATGAACTCCTCGAATGAGTGGATGATTCCATTTGGGAGGCGGTTGTACCAGTCGAGGCATATGCCGGTGAATGTCGACGGGAAGGTTCTGCATAGCGCGGCGTTGGAATTGGTCTGGAGTTGCATACGCAGGCAAAAGGTGCTTACATGGTCTTCCGGGTCGGTCGTGCCGTTGTATGTCGGGAGGGCGGGCGTCGCTCCTGTTAGGTTCTCCGCCATTATCTGCGCGCTCAGCGGCTGGTGAAGGACTCTTTTTGCCGGGTTGGGCCGGTACTGCGGAGACAGATGTTGCTCTAAGAAGCTGAGGTCTGCCCGCTCTGGTGGCTCGATCCCCGGCGCTTCGCACGCGGGGAGTTCCGTCGCCCCGTGTTGGGGTGGCTGGGCTGTCCCCGACGTTTCTCCCAAAGCCTGTTGTGGCGCTACCGCCAAGGTTTGTCGAGGCGCGTCCGCCACCGCACCGGTCGCTGCCGCGCTATCCCTGCTCATCATGAGCGCGATAACTTGGCTCATTTGTTTCTGCATGTCGGCTATGACGTCGTTTTGCTTTCTCACTAGATCCCTCATTTCTCTTGCCGTCAGTTCGGGCTCTTCTTCTTCAATGAGCACGGCGCTGAGGTTGCTGGCTTCCGCGAACATCCTCGGGTCGGTCATTGCCTTGACTGGTGTTGCTTGGTCAGGCTGGTCGTGGTTGTGCTCTGCCATCGGGGGATTTTCTTTAGCGTTTCTCCTTGGCCCCACGGTGGGCGCCAATTGTTTGAACCTAACTGAGTGTAGGAGTGAGGTTCGAATGAGAGTTTGGGTCAAGGAGAAACGCGAGCGTCAAGTTCGATCGGGGAGAGAGGAATTAGAGAGTTGAGCGAGGACCGGAGTCCGAACTTTTAGAAAGAGAAGTAATAGTTATAGAGAGAGGATGGTGAAAAATGCGATCCCCTCACCCACCGTAGTAAATGCCGTATTTATAGGCTTCGTTGTGGTGGGTGAGTGGTTGACCCAAGTGGGGATACAAGATGTGACAATTGGGATACAATGATGTGACCCCTGGCACATACTAAGGATTTTAGACCCTGTCCAGGCCATCCCCCTACCTAGGACGTGTCAGAGATTTGCCACTGGCCTTGATGTGACCACTTCCTGGGGAGGAAAGCTACGCCTCCCTCCTCTCTTGGCTTTGCCTGCGCTACGCTCTTCCTCAGCGCCTGTACCTCACATCGCGCACAAGCTCTTCGCGCCAGGACGTAGTTGACTACGATGAGGTGTCGCGCTCGGGGTCTTCGCGCTGCTATGTCGGAGTCCATCCAGTTGCGTCCGTTCCTTGACGCGGCCAGGCCCGAGTCACATGCCCAACAATAGACTTTTTTTTGAACATCGTGGACGTCATTCAATACAACTATTTATAATTTATAAATTATGATTAAAGACAAACATTAGCCCGATATGAGTAATAAAGTAATAAACCTACAAAAATATACACGAATTTACAAAAACTTATTTGAAGAAAACTAACTATATAATAATATAAATGATCATCTTGAGAATGAATATTGTTACCATACAAATGGCCTACATGGACCATGGTCCAATTAATATGAGAAATTAATTATTATATTAATGGAGGCATGCAATTGCAATCGACCCCATCGTATTTAGGCCGTGAAATGTGGAAACTAATGGGCTATTAGCAAGACATTCATCCCTGTATTTGGAGCCGACAACCAAAAGATAGTTTTGAAAACTAGTTTCATCATTAATAAGGGTTCCACAGACAGCCTCTTTTTTTTTTTTTGCCTTCATTGTCTTTTTAGTTTGGACCCTTAACATAACAACAAATACCTTTAATCGTACAATCACCTAGTTCTTAATGGTTTCCTTAATTAAGGTACTACACTTAATTATTCATCGTCGCATAAAAGCAAGGGCATGGCGACAAAAGGGCCCGGCCACGGTAACAAAATGTACCATATACTCTTGCGTGGTTTAGATGGAGCATTTTGGGTTTGTGATAATTTGAATCAAAAGATTGTATTGTTTTAGAATATGGCATTTCAACTTGTGTGTGGGTTATTCTGGGTTATTCTAATTGTCTTGGTTGGATGAATCAGTCACATATTGTGGTATTTCATCACTCAAGTGAAGAAAAAGCCCCCACCCTATGAGTTATTCTGATTAGCGGTGTGATGGCATTTCCAATAACTCAGAATGAATTAATTCAATCGTCTCAAATGCTGTATACAAAAAGCTCATTTTAATTTTACCAAACGAGATATTTAAACCCAAATAACTCAATGAAAATACTTCATCGAAATGCTGCATCTTACGAAACGATTCATTGTAGTACATGCTTGTTAAATATTCCTAGTCAAGCTCTTAACTTCAGAAAGTTTAACCATGAATTACACCACCTAATCAACTTATCTCCCAAAACTACGAGATGATTATATTGTGTCAAGCATTTGAAAATACGATGGATTACAACTCCCGAGATCGAACACATGATTTGCCTGTCGCTTGATCGAATTTAAAACTAACCAATAAGTTAGTTAACTGATAACCATTTTGAATGTATTAGGGGAAAATTCAAAACAGTGATCCGAAATATAAAATTAAGGGGTCATTTGCAACGAAATCTCGTCGCTAAATCAACTATTTACAACGATTTGTCATATTTTTCGTCATTAAAAAAAATCCCCACATAATACATTAATCAACGGACGAGGTTCTTCAACCACCGCAGCCCGCTATTCACCGACGCCCTCATCCGACTCTCCGTCGCGTACGATCGGTACTTCACCACCCTCTTCTGCCGCTTCGCCTCCGCCTCGCTCCTCGCCCTCGCCTTCTTGTACGCCTGCCGGTAGTTCCTCGCCGCCGCTGACGACACCACAATCGGCAACGGCGAGCCGGTCGAGGCCACGATCAGTTTGTTCGCCCGCCCCGGCGGCGGCTCGAGTTTGGCGACGTCGTGGGAGAAGACGGCCAGCCCGACGTTGTTGGTCGGCTCGTCGTAGTTCCATTCCCCGGCGTTGTTGTACATCCGGTCGTTGGCCGCCCGGAAATCCTCCATCTCCCTCCTCGTGGTTTCTCCCAACGTATGCATCGCGTTTTTTTTTTTGTTTTTGTTTTAGCGACGGAAACTGGGAGTGGTCGGGAAAAGGAGGAGGAAGATTTTTTTGTAACGAGAAAACCTTAATACATAGGAAATGGAGAAATGGCCATTGTAATTGTTACGGGCTTTTTATGTGTTCTTTTATTTCTTCTTCTTTTTTTGATAAATTTATTTCTGTTTTTTAAAATTCATCCAATAAAAAATTTAAGGATTTTAAAATGCAAAGATTAATTGTGGTTGGAAATGGATTTTAGGGGAAAGAGAAAATGAATTGGACGGATGAGATTGAAATTCAGGAGAGCCACCATTTTAAAGAGAACTCTTTTTTCTTTGTGAATTCTCCTAAAATTGGCAGCTAAGGCAAAGTGGGGAAATGAGGAGTACAATGATCGAGTTGATTGCTCCGTCGATGGCTGTTTCACTGAGATTTCTAGGGTTTTTTCGGACTGAACCGATCTTGCCAAATTCGACGAACGTTGAGCTTGTGCGTTCGATTTTGGACTGGAATCGTCGATTTTCAGTGGAGTGAGTGGGATTGCCGTCTGAATTTTGCATTTACCGAAGAAATATCATAATAGTTGATGGAGCTGGAGAAAGGTGGTAAGCTTGGTTATTTGCCGTTTACTGAAGTTGATGCGAGGAACCTTTTGCAGTCAACATGCTGCTGGGTATTTGGCTTGGTGTAGATAATCATGGCATGAACTGTTTCTTCAGTTGTGTGCTTTTGCTTGATGAGAATTTGCTGTCCTTCTCTTGGGCATTGAAGGTAAGAAATGAGGATAACTTAGTTCTTGAGCTAGCTTTTCCACTATGCCAGTTGCTTATGGTTCATTATGTTGTTGCAGGGGTTTAGAGGCTTTATGAATGAGAAGGCTCCACAGACGATTTTGACATACCAGAATGTGTGGTTGAAGGAAGCTATTGCAATCGAGATGCCAGAGATCAGACATGCCTTCTGCATCTGGGACATTGTTGCAAAGTCCTCAGATTGGTTATATGTGTTGCTGGGACAGTGTTATGATGAATAGAAAGCTGAATTATTAGACTCTTCAACCTTGAATTTATTGAAGATTTTGAAGAAGGATGGAGGGAAATGGTCTATGAGTATAGGCTTCACACGAATAGGCACATTTCAAGCATACATGCTCTGCGCATGTTTTGGGCGTTGCCCTTCTTGAGACGTCACTTCTTTGCTGAAATGACTATACCTGCCAGTCTGAGTCGATCAATGCGTTTATTCAATGGTTTCTCAGCGTACAGTCTCAACTTGATCGCTTTGTAGAGACTAGAGAGGGTGTGTATCATTTCTTATTCCATCTCTTTCTGATTCTTTACTTAAAAATGACATAAGCTAAGCCTTTCTACTGCAGGCATTTGATGTTGTCGCTTCTAATCATAAGCCAGAGATGCAACGAAAGGTGCAGAAGGTTTTCCTCGAAATGGGTTCACCAATCGAATCACATGCAGCTGCTGCTCTTACTCCATATGCTTTCCAGAAACTCCAAGATGAGCTTGTGCTAGCTCCACAATATGCATCTTTCCCACTAGATGAGTACTGTTTCCAAGTGAGGCGTCACACTGAATTGAATGGCGGCTGTAAAGTGATCTCTGATCCTTGTCAAGAGCACATCCGCTGCAGCTGCAATCAGTTTGATTTCTCCGGGTTTCTCTGCAGGCATGTACTACGTGTCCTGTCATCAAGCAACTGTTTTCACATACCAGATCAATACCTGCCAAATCGATGGTGTGTTAATGTTTTGTCTTCAACAGCGCACTCCGAGAGGATTCATCATCAACAGTTGGTGACCTCAGAACTTGTGGCAGAGTCAAGCGAGATAGAAGAGTGACTCGAAGTTGCTTTTAAACAGATTTCGTCATTATTATCTCGCATCAAGGAGCTTCCTCGTTTTGATCATGAAGAAGAGAATGATTATATTGCTTGGGGAAAGCTGAAGGAGAGAAGAGCTAGAGATGGGTTTGAACTTTCCAGAAAGCGAATGCATTGCTCAGGCCCTTGATGTGGGCAGTTTGGACACGATGCATTAGAATGTCCAATAATGGGTGGTGATCAGCTGAATGTCGGAGAACTTGGCTGCTTATAATGCAGAATTCTGGAATTAGAACCTTTGATTGCACTTGATGCTCACCTCCTTCTAACTTTAATGTTTTGGGCACTCCGATCTAACCAAGTGAGTTTCTGATTCAATTATGTGAATTTTGATCAGAATAGCAGAGATTTCTTCTTGCTAATTCGTCTTAAAAGGATGAATCAAATTTTCTAATGTTCGGCCTTGATGCCTCTCCTTCCAATGCAAATTTCTGAAATGTAACTGAAATTTTGATTCTTTAATATAAACATGGCCATTGAAGTATGGTAGCATCCTCAACTAAAGTACACACGTTTCAGATCTTGAAGCTATTGTCATTGTACTTTATATCATTATCTCTTGTTTATATACAGGATGACAGAAATGTTTGAAAGCCATACTGCTACAGGATACCTTATTGATCTGCTGAATCGTCTGCCAAGGATACCTTGCTTAGCCTACTTGGCAACGTCCTCGCAATGTTGTTGGTAACTTTTCTCCCCTTCACCTTGTGAGTATGTGATCGAAAGAGCGCTCTCTGTGCAAGTGCTCTCTCAAAACCAGAGTTTCCTGTGGCTTTTGTGTTAGGCTTTTTGTCTGTTGGAAGACTTGCTTGTTTGTTGCTTGTGCATGCCTCCTCCTGATCTCCAGCATTGCCCTTGTCAGCAGAAGACATTCTCTGCCGAAACCACAGACAGAGTGAACTGAAGGTTATCAGGATTGCTGATAAAAAGGTACTGCTCACTCTCTTGAGATTTATAGGGTTATGAGAATGGTTGTTATAAAGCCACAAGAATAGGGTACCACAAGGGGATATATGTTGGCCACAAGTGGGGGATTTTAGATCGACAGGATAGCCGTACTTCTGGGGTGCTTAGAGAATCAACGCCCAGTGAAAATTCTTACTTGATAGAATAAGTTTTCCTTATCTTGAGTATTAAGCAATCGAAAGATGCAGCTAGGGAATTATCTACCCAAGTGTTCTTGAACAAGTTTGAAACTTTTTCCTAGGATGCCAAAGTTCATCTATATCTTAATTTTTTTAAGAACTTCATTTTCTACAGTTTGCATAACTGTTAAACCACCATGCAAGGAACCAAAGCATAAAGTGAGTAGCTGAATGTGACTAGCACAATCTTTCTCCCTTTTTCTGTAGATTTTGTGCAAAAGGGACATAGCATAAAGGACAGGTGCCTGCAAACAGACACACACACTCAGGTCAACCCTTACCCATATGTTTATGCGCAGTTGTAAAAGCCTCCTAGATTTTTGTACTTCTCAAGGTTCTGATTGGTTACAAACCTAATTTGGACAGAAGGGTAGAACACTAAGAACAGGAAGGGAGCCATGGGGTTCAAAGTTCAAACCCAGCTCAACCCTTCTGTGTTACTCTTTCACTAGGAGTTGACAACGATTCGGTTCACATAGGAATGGGTTGGGTTAAATTGATGTTTCGGTTTCTGATCTTTGATTTGGTTATAGTACAGACCCGACCTCCTGGCCAGTCTAGACCAGGCCTATCTTACCTCCGGCCTTTTGAGTCTAAGAAAACTGGGTAATCCTTTACTGTCCATTTCTACTCTAGAGAAACTTCAAGATTTCACTTCCATATTACTTCACGTTGACTCAGAAGCCCCTTATAGATTTTGGACTGTGGGATAGCATCAAGAACCATATTCTGCTGAATCTGGTGTCAATAGAATAATCGGCCGCCTGTTGTCTCACTTTTTGGCTTTTATTGGCTGCTGATATTATCGTGTATCCGTCCATTCCTGCTATTACTTTAATTCCAAGCTTTGTGTTGCCTTTCCTGTATTAGTCAGAAAGGAATAATCAGAAAAGAATAATTGCGATCAAGCATCTAATCATCCTTCCAACCACCCTTTCTGCTGAGTGCCTGAGTCCCAATCCTATCAAAATCGAGGCTTTGGAGCTTTATAGTCGGGATTTGGGGCGGGATTAGGAATCCAAAAATGCAAACTTTAAACGAGAGATAATGATAATTAAGCGAGCCTTTTAAGGCAGAGAAGAAGACACGAGAGGAATGAAGTACAAGGTAGGTCAGTCACACGTGTCACCCATTTAGCACCCACCTTGTTTTCTAGGCTATTGACTACTGTTTGTTATCTTCTTCTTCATTTCACCGCCCAAGTTCATAACAGTGCGAATACTGAATACTTTTGCAGGTTTCTCCCGATAAAGCCCCCTGCCTTCCCAGAGAGAAAGGAATCTGTGGACTTTAAGCAACCTTTCCTCCAAGCAATTCTGCAGTTCCCACCTCTCCCCTTGCCTTTTTTCCATGGATGGGTTTTGCATCTATGTTCCCCTTCTTCCTCTTCTTCTTATGGAGCTTTGAGCTTTGCGGTGAGAACTGTTGGCAGCCATGGCTGAAGGAAGAAGAGCAGTCACCCACGAAGATCTCGCGCCATCCCCAGGAAGCACTGATTTAGGCAGCAGAACTGCCATATCCATCGTGCTCCTCACAATCCTCTCTGGCCTTTTCTGCTTCGCCCTATGTCTCATTGCTGAAGCCTCCCGTTCTCAGGTTGAAACGACGAACCCTTTTGAACGACTCAGGCTGGTTGCCGCCTCACCGTGATCAAGATCTTATCTCATTTCTTTGTGTGGTGGTGGTGATTTGTCTGTGTGTGTGCAGGATACGTGGGAGGATCATCAATGTGTCTATAGTGGTAGTGGAGAGACGCCATTGATGTGCGGTGCTATTGCGTTCATCGGACTGGCGGTGGCCATGGTAGTGGAGCACACATACCTGTTGTTTGCAGTGAGTAAAGCCCCACCGCCAGCTCTGGTCGCTTGGGACCCTAACTACGGCCCTTCCAAGGATGTCACATGGCAAGCTGGTGCCTTTTTCATCACCACTTGGTATGTATATGCCCTGCCCCTTCGGGTGTTTTCATTTTCTTCTTTTACTTCAGCTCGACCACCATTTATTCCGGTTGGTGACTATACTCGATATTGAAACGACCGTAGCACTAAATTTCGTCGGTTTTTATCGTTATGCTGCTAATTTGATTATCTCCGTACTATGTTCAATGTTCAAGGACTGTCGCATTAGCAGCATAACGATAAAAATCGGCGGAGGTGGTACAATGACTTGTTAGAGCAAATTCGATACTTTAATTTGATAAATATAATCCAATTGTTGTGGCTAAATTGGTATTTGACCCTAGATTATGAAATCTAATTTAAGCAGTTCGACTCTCTTGCAGGGTGTGCTTTGCGGTGGCGGAAATCCTGTTGCTGATCGGACTGAGCGTGGAATCGGGTCACCTGAAGAACTGGGCTACCCCGAAACAGAGCTGTCTGGTGATCAGGGAAGGAGTGTTTGCCGCCGCCGGAGTGTTCTCCCTCCTCACCGTGCTCCTCGCCGGCGGGTTGTACCTGACTGCATTTCGCGCGCAGAGAATATCTCAAGAGCACGAAACGGCGCGGCGGCAGGTAATCGACGTGTCGGTGCTCTATGCTTCCCCGCCGCGCTCGCCTACACGGCAGCGAGAGCATATCCCGGCGGCCGAGAGGGAAGACCCTGTTCGCAGACAAGACCATCTCTCCATTGCATTGCCGCCGGCTCTGATCAAGCAATTCAGTTTCGTATAGGAGATGAAATAAGAAAAGGAGAACATTTTTTTTTAAAGAAGAATGTTAAGCCTTGTCAGGCAAAAAGCTTCAGAGCTACATTACAGAGAAATATGCGTATATACCATGTATATATCATTGTATTTTTTGGGAGGAAGCTAGCCTTTCTTTCTTCTTCATTTTGCGTTACATCGTCCTGTCCGTTGTTCGGATACATTTTTATTAATTGTATAATAATAATAACTATTATTTGATGAAAATTTACGGGTTTTTTTATACATAGACAATAGTCAGGTAAACCCCTGGCCAATACAGAGTCAAAGAACATAAAATAACTCTAATACAGAGTCAAAGAACATAAAATAACTCAAGTTTATTGGGAGATGCTCATGTGTGATACTTAACCACTTTCTTGCAGACAATGTATGTATTGTTAGCCCAACCAAACTATCACCAAGACCATGGTTTATGTCATGATATCAGAGCTGGTTGTCATTGAGGTCACGTTTTAAGTCCTCACGATCCCCAATATTAACTGTTGTCTTTAAGCACATGTTATGGCGGGCCTGTGCAAATTTCAAATGCATGAGTCGTCTTTCGTTTGAGGGGGCGTGTAAGGAAGTGGTTAAGTACAATACATGAGTCTCTCCCTACAACTCGAGTTATTGAGACCAGTTGGTTTATGACATTGTCCACAGTGCATATTTTTTAAAATTTTCGAACAAACAATGCATTATTGTTTGCTTGATGTGACACAAACTATCACTCAAAATAAGTGATACTAGTTCTCAGCCCGCGCTCCGCCGCGGGTTAAGTTTGTCTTGAGTAATTTCATGGATTATGAAATATATGTTTTCTGTTTACACGGGCTGGTCAATTATGTGACCTACCAGTCCTCATCAAACATCATAGTTGTCATAGCAAGGATGCTGCCATTGTAGATGCATTATAGTTGTGTGCACGTAACTGGGACGCGGAATTAATGTCCCAAGGCATAAAAACAAAAGATAGTGCTTAACAGCCTTGTGAAATCCGAAAATCCTAATCAAACTTAAACATTGTTTTGTCCTCGTTGGACCTTGAGAATAAAAATTTAGTTAGGGATGGAGGGTATAGAGGTAGCAAACACGTAGCAGGAGCTCTTTCTATCATTGGTGCTGACGATCACTTGTCGATTCTTGAGGTGTGCCAAAGTGTTGAAACTCTGACGTGAAGTTTGGTTGGTGCGGTCCTGTTCTTGAGATCCGAGGAACCGATGTACAGTTCTCCTGCAAACATTCTGCTGCATTTTTTTATCAGCAACGCCTTAGCCGCATCCGCCTCGAGTTTCATGTACTTGGCTGGCGTCATTCCGATTATTGAGAGAGTTGCCTCATGGTCCAGTATGGCATCAATGTCATCAGATCCTTGTTCACATTTGACTTCAAGTTGATAGTGCAAGCTGGACATAAATGTAAGCGAGAAGTTATGTTAGTTTCTGTGTGGATCAATTAGCAGATAATAGATGCGCATTGAAATAGTAAACATACTCTGGCCATTCCTCAGTTGTCCTGCAAATGCTTTTGCGAAATTTCATCTGTGATATGTTAAACTTGGCACGGTAAAGCACCTAACACGAACGGTGTATTTTAGTTAGCAATGTTTGTTTATAAATTGTAACTGCTGGATCTAGCTATTTAGGATGCATTTTGTCCACGACTAACCTTGTGGCAGCTCTGATCAGATGCAAGCATAGCTTTGATGTCAGCAAGTGTTTTCTTCTCAACTGTTGATCGAAGGCAGCCTGTCTTCTTACTGGTGTTAGTGTCCATGTAGTAGACCTGCTTGCGACTATAAAGAAAGCTGGTTGTAGCAAAATAATACAAATTGTTAGCTTTGTTCTGGTCGGTTGGCAGTATATATGAATCGAAGAATGAATAACATTTGTTCAGACAGAAGTGTACATGTTCATTATTTCTCTGAATATGCCCGCATAAGATCTGATGATTAAATGACTGGTAGGAGTTGATTCAAAACGATATTTATATTTCTGGGTGGACAGAGGCGGCACTCGAATAGCAGCTTTGATTGTAACAATGAGGGGCAGATGAGCTTCAGCTGTCGGCGCATTCTCTAAGAACTTAGGGATGTCATATCCTCTATACAGCACAGATGCCTTGACACCACTGATCGTGACAGATATATGTAAGATGGATGGTTCATATAATTAACAAAGCAGTGTATTATTCTATAGAACGCACCTCACATCCTGTATGACCAGGTTGAATTCTCGGAGGATACCACGAACTGTTGTAGGAACACTAATACGCCTGACGCATGCAGTGATATCTGTGGTTATAGCTTACGTTTATCTTAGCATAAAAAACTTAGATAGTCACGCGTAACCTGTATGATAATCAATGGTATTTGTCTGAAGTGGTACTATCGAAAAAGCCATCCCAATGTCCCATCCAATGGGTAATCGTGGCTCGTCTGGATCTTCTTCAATTCTAGGGATGTTTTGTTCGGGAGTTATGTGTATCCTTAACTCTCCTGCAACAATCCTAGGATTCTCCCTTGCTGGTATAGCCACCACCGAATCAAAACGATAAAGGTTTCCGACTTTAATCTTGCGAGAAATCTCACTGATGTCCTTTTCATCAACCATCGACTCGATCAATCGTGCCTATACGATAAACAGTTTAGCGATCTCAAACTACATGGTACATTGGTCTAAAAGAACTTATGAATAAATTAAGCAATTCTGTAACTTAATTGTAAATGAACCTTCTTGTCTATCCAAATCATGTGCATGCTGACGTCTTTAAGCTTTGGTGCCTCTCGGAATTCTAGCCATGTCATCACAGGGCGCGCAATGACTATGCGAGCGTTTATGCCCAAACGCAAGCCCCGAAATGGCATGCAAGTTTCAATCGGATCTATAATAAGATAATAAAGGGGAACGAAATGGTTTTTTTATGTTTCTTGCAGAGGTATCGAGATTCTTGGGAGGATTTGTTTACGAAAGTGAAAGTTCTGACCTTTGATATTGGTGGGGACCATGTGAGCGCCATCTGTTGTCTGGCGGTTCTTGCCTAAACTCTCCATGGCAAGTGGGGTCTCTGTACAAACAATTCAAAAACTGACCAGAAATGTTGTTTCAGCAGTAAAACCGGTGAAGAAGAGAAAGCCGTGGACTTACCTTTGCTTTAATGTTTGTCTGGTAGTTTCTGTGGTAGGGCTTCTTCGACAGAGAAAGGTTGACGAAGATGTGGACGTCGGTTGTCGATGGTTGATGTGGGAGGATAGGGTTTAAAGGAGGATCGCTCTGTCTGAACGGGCCTGTATTATGGGCTTTTATTTAAACGATGTTTGTGACTATAAGGCCTTTGCATTGGTCATTGTTTTGTGGGCTTGAATAACGGGCATGTATGTTTATTGATTCATCTTGTATTGTCCTATAGTTTTGTGGATTGTGGTCCCGACAATGCAATTCGTTCAAAATTGAGTTTATCTATTTTACATCTAGATAGCGACGGTTCTAATAACTCAAATCTTCCATTTATAAGATATAAAATGCAACATGTGTTTGAGGAACTGATCGACAAAAGTGAAGTTGAATATAGTTCTTCATCATTCATTATTTGGACGCATGATCAAAACAAAACATTCACCTCTCTGAACTATTGAGGTACAAACATCAGGGACTTCCATATGGACTGAACAGAATAACCAGCGGCCAGTCAATGGTCGAAGTGAGTACATCAGTGAATTTCCAAAAAACCAGAGTAGTTAGGGAAAAAACAATAAGTTTTTTTTACAGAAAACAGAGCAACATGTCCTGAATAGATAACATACATAATTATAAATAAGTCGTCCCGACAAACTAAGTTCCAAGTAGAACAGTTTTCAATCACACGAAAGCTTTAGGGTTCCAGATTGAAGCAATTCGGATTGTAGGAGGATTTCCTGAAGTCCCAGGAGCAACATAAGCTTCAGCCATAAAAGGCACATAACACCTGTCTTGAATGCACTGATATCCTTCTTCATAGGTTAGACTGAAAAGTTCCTCAGGTGAAACCCAAACCAAGCCTAACACAGCTTCATGATCAAACACAACATCAACATATTCTCCCTCACACTCACATGTTGCTTGTAATTCATATCGTACCCTGAATTAAACAATAAAAGGAACGTTTTGATTTTCCTGAAATGCAATGGACAACAGATTATTAGCAAAACATAAAATTGAATCATACCTTGGAAAACCTGAAAAGGATTTAAAGACTTCTGGACCGTATGTAAATCTTGTCATTTCCAGCATACAACGATAGAGAGCCTGAAGGAAGGAATTTGTGTTATAATAGGTAAAAGATATGACTATATATTTGGGATATGTGTTTCCAATACAATCAGAACAACAAATATGATACATATACCTGGTAGGCCTGTGCATGGAACATTATATCATCCTTTAGCTGCCTGAGTGTTCTTTTGGGAAGAAGAAGACCACGGAGATAACCAATAGAGCAGCGAGAAGTGCTATTGATGTAAGTCACTGCATTCGATCACCTATGAACCTAAACAGCAAAAAGAATGTTCGTATTGTTTTTCTAGCATCCAACAGAGCAGGTCTGTCAATATATAAACATAGAATTCGAATATAATAATACCTATTTATGATTTTCTCATAATGGTGATTGTAAGAAGCAATGATCAGACGACTTCCAGGTGAAGATTGAAATACATATGCATCTCCAGTTCCATCTGTAATTGGCAACCTTGTAACAGCAGTAATTGTGGTAATGAGAGGAAGCCGAGCTTCAGATTCCCCTGCAAACTCCAAATACTTTGTAACCTCAGTTCCAGAGTAGTACACTGTCGCCTTGTCGCCTCTACACAAATAGCAAAAGATCAGTTAATCCCACATAAAGTCTAACAAACAAAAGTCAACACAAGAATACGCAAGAAACCTGCTGTTTTCTATGATGAGCTCAAACCTAAGAACACCATTACTTGAAAATTCTGGAATTGTTAGATGAACAACGCAACCCGTAACATCTGCAATTAAATTCATAGTTAACAAATAATCATGTATACTTTTTGTGAAAACAACTTTCGAGGAAGATACCTCCATAATTCACAACTGCTTCTGCCTCTATTGGAACAGTCGAGAACAAAGTTTTCAGAAAAGCATTGACAGGAAACTTGGGATAACCCGGATTGTCAGGCACACAAAATATGATCTGTTCACGCCTTATGGCAAAGCGAACTTCGGCAGGAACAACACGCCTGTTTTCCCTTGCAGGAATAACATGAAAGCCATCCAGAACATGTAAATCTCCTACTTTAAACTTATGTTGCATTTCTTGAATGTCATCTTCCTCAATACAGGCCTCTAGCATATGTTCCTGTTAAATGTGATTTAGTGCATCACTACAATAAAATCAAACATAAACAATAAATATTACATCATATAGACGAATGACAGACCTCTTTGTCAAGACACAGCACATGCATTGTTCTTTTATGCCCCTGAGAGTCATCACTATACTCAATCCATACATTAAGAACTCGGACGATCATAATATCAATATAAGCACCAACGCGTAGACCACGAAACACCTTGCATGTGGAAATTGGGTCTGTGGTAAACGAAAGACAATGAAAAACCCCAAAACTTCAAACCTCGGCAGTGTTCATTCATAAACCAACAAATAGAAACTTGAAACAGAAAGCAACAGAGTCGATACCTCGTGGAAGAGTTGGAAGTTTGAAATCACGCGGCATTATACAACGATGCCTGATATGGAAAGACAATAGAAGATCAAAATTTTGTTAAAGTGTCAAGAAACAGAAACAGAATGCAAAAGGGAAAAGTATCGGCGATCATACCCCATGAATACACGACTATCTCTGTTCTCGAAGTTGCGAAGTACTGTGGTTCCTGGGAAAAAAAGTTCAGAGAACAGGGGAAGTTAAAAAGGCAGAATCAGAACTGAAATGAAAAGGTGGTGGAAGTTGGTCCCTAAAACGTTTTCGCACCACCATTATAAAATCATAAATTGAATATTCAATGGGCCATCAATTGTTCCCCTAATGGACCGAACAATTATAGAATGGGCTTCCCAAAAGCTATAGAAACTTAATATAAGCATAAAGGCATCTCCTATTTGGGCTAAATATGAGAATACTGGGCCCAATTCATATATCTACTTATATATTGTAAAAGAGGGCCCGTTATTTATATTTATCTATCCGCGTCCGGGCTTGAAGCAAATTGAGAAAACACCAATGTTTCATTCGAGAACACTCTAATCATGTAACCGCAGTTTGTTATTGTCTATTCATTTTTAACATCGTCAATGGTCTAGGTGATACCACACAATCAAACTAAAGTTTGCTCTTGCTGTATATTTAGAACATGGGTTGTACTTGGTTCCTCATCTATGGCCATGTTCAACGTAGGCAAAAAACCATCAACTGGTTGCTCCTCTTTTCTTGCCTACATTCTAAAACCGTTGTAACCCATAATCGGCTAGAAACCTTGGCTATTGATCCATGAACAACACTGGGAAAACTCAACACGCAAGCTACTCAATAGTGCACCTCCTGTACTTGCAAAAGCTGAACATCAAACAAAAGATAGGTGACATGGGAGAGAGATGTCCACCAAGGCAATCAACGTTATATTCGACATCATAAAAAAACATAAACAACACCATTACACCACGTACAATAACCATACATAGGTCTTTTTGTTCCTTCTCACCAGAACTTAACTATTTTCCTTGTACAAAAGAGGTTCATTAGATACACTAACACTTCCTAGCCCTGACTGTTCCTTTGCCCACAAAATGTAACCATCTCCCCTATCGTTCAAAGGACCCCATCTGCAAACATAGAAGGATCAAAGTGAAATTCTCCATACATATATTCAAAATAGTAGCAATTGCAAAGGCAACACTTGTTCTGCCACCATGCAATAATTCATGGGTCACCATTCAAATACATTACAGGGAAGAAGGCCAACAAATAGTAAGAGTGGATTCTAATCCTACTCAAGATGCAATAACTCGTGGGTTCGAAACCCACCCAAAAAATTAGCAAAAATCATTTCCTCTCAAGGAATTTGAAAGCATGAAGAACCCGTTACCAGATGGAACTCGTCGAGCGATGAACAGGGCAACATAACCCTAGGAAAAATGGTAAATTTGATAAGCATCATAAGGCAAATACTTGACACGACATATAGTCACCTCGAGACCACACTTAACAATTAACAAACATTAATTTCCTACCATTTTATAGAGAAGAGATGAAAGCCTTCAAACCTTCTTCGATCAGTATTACAGGCACCTCGAGACTACACTTTCCTACACCATTCTCAACGGCATGCTTCGCAAATCTGGTTTCCCTTTGTCGTGGACTTCGTCTTCCCGGGTCGTGGGTATTGTCCAACCCCGATCAACAAAGGAATAGGTGCAGCATATCTAGCGATTCTAGGTCTTCTCCGCGTTCTCTCCACGTCAGACATGGATTCTCGGCCATTCCTAGGTGGCCGCTTGCAACGATCGCTTGAATCCGCTGTTCAGTTTCCCACCGTGGACAACGCAGAGCTCACTCCCTTCTTGCTCCAACCAATCTTTTGAAGGTGAGAAGAAAAAGAAAGAAATCAATTAATGAGATAAATAATTTCTCTCTCAGCAAGAGAAAGTGCATTTTAAGATTTAAAGTGATGAAAGAGTAACATAAATCTCAATCAGGAAAACACAGAAAACATACTTTGGGGATCTGAGTCTCTTCCAATTCCTCTCCGACCCTCTCAAATTTGCCAGTTGATTGCTCCAAGCTCTACTGGTTTCGAAAATGAGAAGAGAGCCAAAAGTAGAGAGAAAACAAAAGATGATCAATATATAAACCATTACGACAGAAACAAAATTTTGAGAGACAGAGGAACAATCACATGAAATCAGTACAAAACCTGTGGTTCTGGGTGTTCTTCGAATCCTCCCTCCCTCTTCCAAATAGCTCCAAATCCACTCCAGGACACTCAAATCCCAACAGTCAAATCACAAACGAAATCAGGGAACTCCGATCGATCCACTGAAACAAACGAAATACAAAGCATCCATAGAACGACTCACCACAGGAGATTCACAACTGAAGGATGAATCAGCTCTGATGCAAAGCTCAGATCCTTCTGTTCCTGGGAGAGGCGATGAACAAACCTGAAAAAAGAGGATCAAAGAAAACCCATTTTTCTAGATAGAAAGAGAGAGAATGAACCCAGTCAAGAAAAGGAAGAGAAAACGAATGCAAAGAAAGAGGAAGATATATTTCAAGAGAAGAGTGCTTCTCTGACCTCGATGAGAGAGAATATAGTACCACGGGTAGATTAGGTTAACCACACAAAGCAAACGAACGAAATATCTCTGCCAACCGTCAATCTCATTTGTTCTGCCTCCCTGACCAAGCTTCTATCCCCTCATATTTTTTTTCTTTCTCTGCTTCCTGATTAGTCCCCTCAATTTCCTTTCCAGTTTCAGAAAGTATGCCCAGTCTACATCATCAAGACATACCTCTCTTCTCCCATACCTCCCTTCTCTCTCAGCCTCTGAAACCGGCACGACTCCCACCTCTTAAACGCTCCACACCTCAAATACTCTGACCTTGCCCTAAGCCACTTGCAGAGCCACTGCGATAAACCCTTCCAGTCCCCCTATGGCCCACCATCCCTGAGTCTCCCACCCACGGATACGTTGATCGCCTGCAAAGGCCCTGACACAGCTGCCAAGGAAAATAGACCGGCCGCCTTAAATCCATCCAATCAAGCAACTGGGCAGGCTCCAGCCACCGAGAGGGCCCTGGTGACCAACGCGTTCGCGGACCACAACCGATCCAGCAGACCAAAACAGGCCAACGACCAAGTTCCATCCCAACCGACCCGCCAAACACCCGCCCGATTCCAATGAGCCCCCACCCAACGCCAGCCCACACAGCGCCAGCTTCCGGGTTATAACAGTACATCTCGGTCAGCATGAGCAGTAAAAGCAGTCTGCGTGTGCAGTACCAGGTCCTGCGGTGGGATTTCTTCTTTCAATGGATTTTTTTCTTCCAAAAATGTCTCTACCTTTTTATGTATGTTGCTTTTTTATATTCAAAACAAAGGGTAAAAATGACATTTCACTCTAAAAGTAATATAACTATTAAATACTACAATAACTATTACTGAAACCAACTAATAGAAACTACAATAAACCAATTTTACTATATACATGTATATTATTATGCATGCATTGATGACAATACATCAATTTAACTATCACCAAAATCAAACGACCCCAGTCAGTAGGGATGGCAATGGGTCGGGTTGAGGCGGGTTTTGTCAAACCCAAACCCATGGGTTTATCCGCAAAAAAACCCGGGGTAAAATCCATTGGGTTTGAAAAACTCAAACCCAACCCGCTGGGTATCCACGGGTTCATGGGTACCCGTGGGTTTTTGTTGTAAAAAATTTACAATAACAAGTTTCTTTCAAAATAAAAGTTTCAAAATAACAAATTTTCTTATACAAATTATTCATACAAAAAACACCAATCTAGAGCATACAAGGAAACCGGAAATGATCAATACAAATTGTTCACAATTAAAGATAAACATCTATAAACAATAAGATTAATTGAAAGCTTCTTCCTCGTCAACTAAGTTTCTTCACTCTCCACAAACATAAAGAATATTAGTGGTTTAAGGAAGATATATTATTTAGAATATTAAATATACCGGGAAAGTAATTATATGTGTGTGAGCGGGTACCCATGGGGCGGGTTTACCTAAACCCAAACCCGACCCAGTGAATAGTGTAGCGGGTTTAAACCCAAACCCGGCCCAAAACCCGTCAACTCGGGTTTTACCCGCGTTGACCGGGTTGGGTCGGGTGGGTACCCGTGGGTTCGGGTTTTGTTGCCATCCCTACCAGTTAGTGTTTACTAGGGGTGGGAAAACGGTGCGGTCACCGAAATTTGTGATTAACCGCAACCGCAAAAGTGTCCATATTCACCAACCACGACCACACATAAGTCGGTTAACGGTGCACTGCGGTTACTAGAGTTAACAACCGATTTAAACGCATCTTTTAATGTCGAGACTCAAGAGGCGACGAGCAGAGCAGAACTCAACTTGCCACAGCGGAGTGCGGCCTGCGCTGCGCCGCTGAGCGGCGAACTTGGTTGGTCAGATCAGCATGATGGGCGAGGTTGACAAGGGACGGTGGTGGGCGGATTTTTTGGAACAACGTCTCAACTTCCTCTCAAGGCTCTCAACGGCGGGTGATTCACGATTAGCGATTTAGGGTAGGGATTGCGAAGCCAAAGTGGGGAACTAAGGAAGTGTCAGAGTGGGGGAAGGGGCTAGGTCATCCTCGGAAATGGATTGGGCAGTGGGCTATTAGGTTGGGCTGGGGTGGGGTTTTTGTTATGGGATGTTCTGGAAATGGATTGGGTTGGGTATTGCGGTTGGGGCTAGTTTCGGTTAAACCGCAAACCACAAAACAGCCAATATCTCTAAACACGACTGCAAAAGATGTTGTTTTTGCAGTTTGCGATTAACCACTAACCACGCGGTTTCGGTGCGGCTAGCGGTTTAACCGCAAAACCACAATCGTTTTCCCAATCCTAGCATTCACTCACAAGAATAGATAAACTTCTCTCTAAGTATTGCTCTCAATATTTCTTATAAATACAATAGGGTGAAGGTGTTCCTCATATAAGTATCACCTCCAAAATGACTGACTAGTATCTATAATATATACAAAATATGCATGATCTAGAATCCTCCAAGAAAATATGTACACGCACTATGAAAATATCTAAAAGTCTCTACAATCTTTCAGGGTCTTTTAGAATGCTCCACCATGCACTTTCATGATGCTAAAAGGCTTGAGCCTCATTAGGGCTTGACTCTTAGGTGTAACACTATCCTTCAACTGATTAGGCGATGTCCTCGTCATGGACTGATGATGGAATTTCTCGATAAAGTCTTTATGTCACCACAATGTGAGCTCGTTCTCCCAATATACTTCGCTTTCGAGGTGACCTTTTCACTCGTCAAGATACTCCACATGACTTGGATGAATTCCCCTCTCAAGGATAACATGGTGAGCCACAATCTCCACTACTTCATGCTCATGTGTCTTGTTGATGAGAAATGGTGTCTGATCTGACTTGTTTCGCTCTTCGTATTTCTTGTCTTCGTGGTATGACTTTAGTTGGCTGACATGGAAGACGTGGTGGATCTCGAAGTGTGACAACACCTCCATTTTGTATTGACCTTTCAATCCTCTTCACAATATGAAATGGGCCTTCGTATCGACGAAGTAGTCCCTTGTGCAAGTTATTGAAATGTTTGAGCGATGAGCGTAGAATTCCACCATCACCATGTCTCCTTCATCAAACTCCAAGTGCCCCCATCTTCTTATCGGCACCCATCTTCATCTTCTTTGGCGCTAGGGCCAAATACGACTTTGCCATCTCCATCTTCTCTTGCCACTCCTTTGTGAAATTGTAGGCGGTGGGTCGCTTGCCCTTGTACCCCATAGTCACCGTATTTTGTGTCAATGGTTGTTGGACTATAGCCAACTAGAATGAGCTCATGTTAGTTGCCTCATTCCGATGCAATGCAAGTCGTATAAGAATTAAGCAATGGTCGTTAACTTCACCCAATCTTGTTGTAAGCACTTACCCATTACGTTTGTCCGTCAGTTTGCGGATGAAAGCTTGCGTATAAGTTCAAATTGGAGCCCATGATCTTGAACAACTTCCTACAAGATATGCCAGTAAAGCGGCAATTTATATCGCTCACAATATTGGATGAGATGCCCCAATACTTCACCACATTTTTGAAGAATAAACAGACATCATCATCGACCATCATATGCTTAGACACCGATATGAACACTTCATAATTCGACAATCGGTCCAACACAATAGATACTCAACAAATATAACATATTAAAGTCTCTAGCCCAAAACATGTTCCCACCAAGGATTGAAAAACCATTCCGAAGGTTGTACTGGAAAAGCCTATAATACGATATTTTATAGTGAAACTGTGACTTAATCATGGTTCGACCATTTCATAGCGCTAAATACCACCTACCAATTTTACTTATGATATGAAGTTTTTCTGATCCAACCGCCGATATAATACAATTTTTCTGATCTAACCACCAATCAATCCTTGATTGCGTCATATTTCTTCATAAATTGTACTACCTTCATTTGCGTCAATAACTCAATGTAGAATTAGACGTTATAAAAAAAAAATAGAATTAGACAATATCTTGGCCCGGGTATGAAATTGCTATCTACCACTTATTTACACAAAATTAAATAAAAATTTGATTTATTTTCCTGCCACTGAAAATAGGATTAGGAGGATCAACCACCGCTCCATCAAATGGGGAATGGATCAGGTCAGTAACCTTATAGTGAGTAATCATGAGTAACTCATCCACATCAGCATGACATCAGCATCCTCTCTCTCATGAAAAGCCTTTAATTTTTCCCTCTTTAATCTTTGACGGACGATTTCTCGCTCATTTTAAGTCGAAATTTAATTTTTTTTGCACAGTTAGATCAGATTAATTGTGCTCTTCAAAATGATATCCACTTTAATATATTTTTCGAACAAAAAAAATTGAGCCATTTTTTACCAGCCTATACCATATGGTATTGACTGGTATTGAAATAAAAGCATACCTATGTTTTGAAAAACGTACCATGGTGGTATGAACAAACCAATACTGTAGGATGATTGAATACATGATAGTAGAAGTATATTAATTGTAATTTACGACTTTTAACATTGTATACCACACAATACCACCCCGTACCAGGGTGGTATTGTGCGGTATTTTTTGGTCCTGTAATTTGTTCACCCAGAAATTTGTAGATCCAATAGATCATGATGAACTCGTCCCTTCTGTGCAAACGTTTTCAAAAACGAATTAAAAACGAAGAAGATACCATACAATACCACCCCGTACCAGGGTGGTATTGTATGGTATTGTGTGGTATTTTTTTGTCCTGTAATTTGTTCACCCAGAAATTTGTAGATCCAGTAGATCATGATGAACTCATCCCTGCTGTGCAAACGTTTTCAAAAACGAATTAAAAACGAAGAAGATACCATATGGTATGCAGTTGGTATCGAGAGGTCAGAATTTTTTTTTCCTAAAAAAATATTGAAAATTGATCTCATTTTGTAGAGCACGGTGAACTCGTTCCATCTGTGCAAAAAAAATTAAAATCCAAGTTAAAACGAAAAAGATATGAGTCAATTAAGAAAGCTAGTGGAAATAAAAATAGTCTTTAATTCTCCATCCTTAGATCTGGATTTTCTAAATGAAGGGTCCAGATTTGGTTATTGACATTAGGGCTGGCATTTCGGTTTGCGGTTAGCGGGTAACCGCCGGTTTTAACCGAAAACCGCCGGTTATCAGCTAACCGAAAACCGACCGGTTATCTTGTCGGTCGGTGGTCGGATGGGAAGAGGAAGGGGTCGGTTGACCGAGTAACCGACGGTAATTAACCGCGGTTATCCGATTAACCGGGCCAACCGAGACACAATGTACCTTCCCCAAAATATGTCCAGATTCATCCCCAATTCCCCATACCCACATCTTAAATAAATAAAAAAAAATTCTCAAATACAGAAAGAAGAAGCAGATCTATAGCCAGAAGAAGCAGATCTATAGCCCATCATCGGGTTCCCCCTCTCTTCCCCAGCTCCTTGACCAATTTCGCCTTCTCTTCGCCGCCCATCATCGGGTCGGCCAGGAACTTCCGGATCGGGTCTCAGCAGCCGGGAGAGCCTCCGTACGTCCCGCCGGGCTCTGTCGAGAGCGCCTCTGCAGCGAGCTATGTCGACAAGCGCCGCCGCGTAGCCGCTCGCTGGGCTCCGGTGGGTTTCCGGAGCCGGAGCGGCGGGGGTAGCGGGAGGTTTGGGCGTGCGGAGGGAGAAGGTTGGGGAAGCGGTTCGGGATTTGGAGGCTGGGCGGGAAGAATTGGGTTTGGCGGCGAGGTGAGGATGGAGCGGTGGTTGCTGGGGGCGGAGGCTTTTAGGGAGAGAGAAGAGAATTGAGAGAGGTAGGGAGACAGTTCTGGAAAGGAAGAAGAGTATTGAGAGAGAGTAGGGAGAGAGCAGAAGAGAATTGAGAGAGGTTAGGTTAGGTTTCTCTGGAAAAGGAAGAAGAAGAATCGAGAAGTGACTAATGAGTGGTGCAGAATTTTTGGGTTTTTAATTTTTTTTTTTTTTTTTAGAAAAGGTAATTTCCGGTTGGCCGGCTAACCGAGCCTAAAACCGAAACCGACCGGTCGGTTGGCCGGCTAATCGTGACCACTCTCACGGTCGGTGGTCGGCAGGTATGCAGGGTGGTTCGGTTTAACCGATAACCGGGTTTTCGGTTTTCGGTTAAACCGAAACCGACCGACTGCCACCCCTAATTGACATGGGTTATGCACCCTATCTTGAGCCCATCAAATGTGCTGGAGGCGACTACAGATTTGGAAATCCATCAAGTCAAAACAAGGCCAATAAATGGGCCCAATCCAATAATACAAACCCAACCCAAAAGCAACGGAATCTCAAATCATCCCTGGCGTCCGCTGTTAAAGCGTTAAATAAAGTGATAAACCTCAAAACAATTAATTAAATAATTAATTATCAAACAAATGAACAAATCCCTATCCGTCGCGTAAAACTGTAAAAAAAAACCCAACTGGAAATAAAAATCAAACCTCTCCGACTTCCCGTCTCCAGTTACTGCCTGCGGTCTCCCGAACTCAAAAAGAAATCAAATCACTCTCCCCCTCCCGCTCCTAGGGTTTCTTGAACCACCTGCGATTCACAGGCTCGCTTCCGTCTCCCCGGCCCTCTGCGCCACCATCACTTCGCCTTCGAAGCTCTGTTCCAGTCAACGTAGCCGGAGCCATGTCGCTGAGGCCAAACAACAACAAGAATGAGAATCGCCGCAACAAGTACAAGGTCGCCGTCGACGCCGACGAAGGCAGGCGGAGGAGGGAGGACAACATGGTGGAGATCCGGAAGAACAAGCGCGAGGAGAGCTTGATGAAGAAGCGGCGTGAAGGCCTCCAGCCCCAGCAGCTCTCGGCGACTCTCCCTGGTGCTATGGAGAAGAAGGTAAGCGCGCCTTGTTTCGACTCTCGGTGTGCTTCAGCGTATTCTTGTGGATGGTTTTTCTTTCGGCCTGTGGTGTTCAGTGTTTGTTCTTGCGGTTAGGGTTAGGGTTTTGAGAGCATTGGTGCGAGATCTTTGCGTTCCTAAGTATTGGAACCTCTTTGCCGGTGATGATCTCTGATGCTTAATTGGATTTTTGTTCAATGTGCAGTTGGAAAGCTTGCCTTCTCTGGTTGCTGGTGTTACTTCGGATAATGGTAATCTACAGCTCGAAGCCACCACTCAGTTCAGAAAGCTGCTGTCCATCGGTAATCCTCACACTCTTTCTACGTTGATTCTTTCGTTTTTGCCTTAGCTGTTGCGTCTAGCGATGTTGTTAGTTATTACTGAATACTGATATGTATTTATACATGTGGAATGAATGATTTCAGAAAGGTGCCCTCCTATTGAGGAGGTTATTCAGTCTGGTGTTGTTCCTCGCTTTGTTGAGTTCCTTATGAGGGAGGATTTCCCTCAGCTCCAGGTATGTTGCTAAATCGCGATTTTGAGCACTGCATTTCAGGTATTTAGATGTTAGTGAGGGCATTTGGAATTGAAATAACATGATTTTTTATTCTGTTATAGTTTGAAGCTGCTTGGGCTTTGACAAACATTGCTTCTGGGACCTCTGAGAATACCAAAGTGGTGATCGATCATGGTGCTGTTCCAATATTTGTTAAGCTTCTTGGTTCTGCCACTGATGATGTTCGGGAGCAGGTATAGATTCTTTCTTGTAAAAAATTATTCTGACTGCTGATTTTTGTCAAGAAATTGAAGCTTAGGATATTCATTCTTGAACCTGTAGGCTGTGTGGGCCTTGGGAAACGTTGCTGGTGATTCCCCAAAATGCCGTGACTTTGTTCTGAGCCATGCAGCACTGATTCCTCTTCTGGCTCAATTGAATGAGCATGCCAAGCTTTCCATGCTAAGGAATGCCACTTGGACATTGTCGAACTTCTGCAGGGGCAAGCCTCAGCCTCCTTTTGATCAGGTTGGTCTTGGACTTCAATGTAGTACTCGGTCTTTAATTTCCGGAGAATGTCTTCGCTTGTTTTGGAATATTAATAGAAGTTGATCTGGCAGGTGAGGCAAGCGCTTCCTGCACTTGAGCGTCTCGTGCACTCCTCTGATGAGGAAGTCCTTACTGATGCATGTTGGGCGCTATCCTATCTTTCTGATGGTACAAATGATAAAATCCAAGCTGTGATTGAGACTGGTGTTTGCCAGCGACTTGTGGCGCTTCTCCTGTGAGTTCTATTATTTCTAGCTAGGTTGGCCTTACTTTTACTTCTGGCAGGATAATAATGTTAATGGTTTGGTTTGCTTGAACCCTGTAGCCATCAATCGCCGTCAGTGCTTGTTCCAGCCCTTCGCACAGTTGGAAACATTGTAACAGGAGATGATTCTCAGACTCAGGTAATGAAGTTTATCAACGGATTATTATTACTGTCATCAAACTTTGTAGAACTATGCTGAATATCTTGTAGAATTTGATGGACTTGCACATCTTAGCTCCGGTTTTAGTAAAGTTTGTTTACTGAAAATGCATTTTCAACTCGTTTATAGAGTTGCTATTTATTCTCTTAAATTGACACAAACAACTTCCTCATTTACAGTGTATTATCGGCCATGGTGCACTCCCATGCCTTCTCAACATGTTGAACAATACGTTTAAGAAGAGCATTAAGAAGGAAGCATGCTGGACCATCTCCAACATTACAGCTGGAAACAAGGAACAGATTCAGGTAATTATGAGGCTCAGAATTCATTAGTTTTCCGTAAGAAAACATTGATGTGTACTTGTACTTGCCTAATTCTTACAAATAACAAACTTGTGTCTCCTTGAAGCTCTTTGAATCCTGGTACCTATTAATGTTTGGGAATTTTGATTAGAGTACTCATTGTAGGGACCTTTGATTGTGTCATGAAACAGGCTGTGATTGAAGCTGGTCTGATAGGCCCTCTAGTTAACTTGCTTGCAAATGCGGAGTTTGACATAAAGAAAGAGGCTGCTTGGGCTCTCTCTAATGCTACTTCTGGTGGTACCCATGATCAAATCAAGTATGTCCATTTGTTTTTCTTTTGCGGCGTAGAAGTATAAATGTTTGTTTTAGCCGTATCAGTTATTTCTTGTTGATTCTCTCACGGAACTGATAATTAATTCAATTTGTGGATGCTAGGTTTCTGGTGAGCCAGGGGTGTATAAAACCATTGTGTGATCTCCTTGTTTGCCCTGATCCAAGAATCGTCACAGTCTGTCTCGAAGGACTAGAGAATATATTGAAGATCGGGGAATCCGAGAAGAATTTGGGAAAAACTGAAGTGAACTTATTTGCCCAGGCTATAGATGATGCTGAGGGTCTTGAAAAGATTGAAAATCTTCAGAGCCATGATAACAATGAGATCTACGAGAAGGCAGTTAAGATTCTGGAGACCTATTGGACGGAGGAAGAGGACGATACATTACCTTCTGCTGATGCTACTACGCAGTCAGGTTTTCAGTTTGGCGGAAATGACCTCCCACCTGGCGGCTTCAACTTCAGTTGAAGGTATGTTACAAATATGCTTTGAACCATATGCATCAATCTAACCAGAGGCCGCAAATGAGTTTGTTTGGTATGTTCGTGGGTGAGTGGTTGGTTGGCCGTTGTGGACTGAATTGGGGGTTAGAATCATTAAAGCATAGGTATTAAAAGCTCAGGGTTCAAATATTTGGTTACTAGGCTATAATTGTATTCTAAATTTCATGTGCATGTAGAAAATCTAGGTTCTGAAAGACCGGACTAGATGGTTTTAAGTTGGTGGGTTTAATAAACTCGTCAATGTTGGTTTTTTATAAACTGGTCAACCTAACTGAATGGATATCTCTCAATTGGCTTTATGGCTAGATTGTTTTAGGTGGGCGGGTTGAGATGTGGCTTGATATTCGCCACTCTCTAATTTCTTAGCTATCCTTGGTTTCCTGAATTGTGCATAAAGGGTTGAGTTCTATAAACACTGCAGGGGCTTAAGTTTGTTATGATGGCGAAGTTGTGATGGTCGCGAAAAACTGTGGCGGCTGAAGTCGCAGTATATCAAGGCAACTTGTGTCGTCAGAGTCAGGTCCATTATGCTCTCATGGGTCGATCAAAAGCTGCCTCAATTGGTCAGTCAGTCGTTAGAGTCAAGTGTCAGTCCACAAGGAGTCGGGAGATTGGGAGTGCAGTGTCGTCCGTCTGGCCAGCCAGCACTGGCAATTACTATGAAAGGCAGTCAAAAGGGTCAGTCGTGTCTGATAATCAGATGGAGGCTTCCTTTTGGTGTGGGTATTTTTTTGCATTGCACGAAGCATCGAGGATTTGGTCGGGAGTCTTGGTTGTTTTTAGTAAAAACTCATAATATACAGTTGTATTTTTACAGTCTATTTGATTGCATTTGCATATAGTCGGCCACAACGTCATCCGTCAGTCAGACAGTTGTGTGGATTTCTTGATTCTACAAGGAAATGAAATGCCAGTTATGGATTTTTTGAACCTGTTATCCCTGTCTTTCCTTTCTTTTTTTTTTTGTTTAGCTTTTGATGACTGTCATTACTCATTAGTAGTCATTTGGGTCGTTCCGAGTAGTCTATCTGCTGAAAAAAGCAGTTGTGGGCATGAACTAGTAAGTTTTGATGTTAAGCTTTTACGATCTTTGCCCTTGTCTGGGTTATATGAGTAAGTTAAACTCTGCTTCGTGAGTCGTATTGTTATGGCAAACAGATGTGCTTTGTGTTTGCCACCGTGAGCGACTTGATTGAACCACCAAGCCTCTAAACCAAAAACTTCACCCTGTGATAAGAGAAGTTGGTGTTTAAATTCTCAGAAGCCCTTTTTAAATGCGATTGAGAGTTTTAATTATGGTCCAGGTCGAGCATGCGTCATCACTACACTAATGCTGTCTATCAATTTGCATTTGCAAAGAGTAAAGTCGGAAAGACACATAATGCATTGAATGATGATATGATTTAAAGAGATCATTTAAGGGGTTTAGCTGCCCAGGAGGTTTTTGATGTGTTGCTTTCTCTCTCGGACCTTTCTACTCTGCTGCTCTCTCCTACTGTAATGTTTCCATTCACCAATGTCCAATAGTTTAAACTTAGAAGTAGGGAGTTTAGGATTCAAATTCGTCTGTACTTATTGATAATCTTTTGTGTGCATATAGCTGCATGATGTTTCTTGCTCTTTAACCATATATATGTAAAAGTTTGCAAATCACATACACAATATGGAATTGGCCATATCCGTCATTTGAGGGGAAGGGGGGGTCATGCCTTGATACTTGCACTCGTCTCTCGTGGAAAGACTTGACACGAACACCGCGATTGATAAGATGTGAAAGACTTTTTCCGTTCCTGTCTAGTCGATTTTTTCACCCCCGTCGAGTAAGGTTTGCGTTTTGGGTCCTCATTCGAGCATCTAATGCTCTTGAGGATGAAAAGTGTATGAGGTTTTCGACGAAATCGTGATCGGAGATCCCTAGGGGACATTTGTTCGTTTTGATCCTGAACTCCTCTCATAGTTTTTTGTGGAACTTGGATAGGGTGAATTGTGAATTTAGAATGGAGGGGGGAAACACATTTGAAATCGGCCCATAATGTGGTCCTTCACTCCACCCTTCAGTCCATGGCTTGAAACAAAAATCAAAATTCAGATGGACGGCTTATGAGTTATGACCCATCACTTTCCATCTTCTTTCTTTTCTGTCACATATAAAATCTATGGAAGGAAGAACAAGCAAATCAAATAGATACGATATGGATTGTGCTGACCATTTTATCCAACTTTTTTTAGCTCCCAAATCCTATCTTCGACTTGTGTCTAAAATCTACTATTGTTTCTCATGCTGTCGTGTTTTTCCACGCATCACATATCTAAACCCTATGTCAAAGAAATCCGCCTATCTACATGACATTTAAGACATCAACATTAGCAGATTCTGCAGGACATTCTCCTTGTGTGCTTATTTAACCAATTTCGGTCTGTTTTGAAAAATTTGTAAGAGAATTGCGCGTTGGGATGAAACTCGCGGAAAAAGTTACCATTTTTTCACTCCAAAGGATACCTATTTCTTAGTTGCTTTGGTGTGTTCTCAAGTTACCTTAAAGGTCTTTAGCGTTTTACTTATAAGGTGACGATTTAATCGTAAGAATAAATTTCCTATAATCCAAAGTTTGCTGTAAAGTGAGAATATTATTTGTGCAAAGTAATCATTATCATGACCCTGTTTAGATTTCAGGTTATATCCATCACAACACCCGTTGTCTTTAAAAGCCAACATTTTCCATTCCCGTTCCTAAAATAGAGAATCCCTACCATCGCAAATAGTGGTTTATAGTAAGGCTACCTGGATACTCTGCTGCCATGCGTTCCCCAAGGTCTCCATTAATCTTCCTTTTGCACTTCTTCAATCCACTTTTCCAACTCACGTTGCCTAATAATGCATATATTAATTTTCAATTAGTATATAATAGTGCTGCTTACCGATTGACAAATGTGATATAATTTAGAAAGGACAATGAGTGTAGTTGAACATCCGGTCGGGCCGTTCACGGACTAGCACGATACTATTAGAACACGATGCTGATGTGATTTGAATTGGAACTATCAGCCGCTATGATTGGATCCGGCCCGGGGTGTATGGGCTCAATGTTATTTGGGTTCGGGTTCTGGGCCTGGTGTGTAACAAATTCCTTTGTCAGGTTGGATTCTGGTTCTGGGTCTGGTCTGTAACAAATTTCCTATAATCCAAAGGGTTGATGTGACTATAAATACTTCTCATACTTTTCTGTAATTTGTAATTTCCTCGATATAGTGAAACTGGCTCTCTCTCGCCCGTGGACTAGCTAACACACATCGTGTTAGTGAACCACGTAATTCGTGTGTCGTGTTTTCGAATCTCGCTTTGTCGATTCCAGCGATTTCCCGATCCGTAGCAGCGCGTTTTATAACACACGGTAAATGCTACTAGCACATATAATTTATGAGTCATGTTGGACCTAAATTTTATGGGCACGAGCATGAGCATGATACAGTTTATATATTGGTCACGCTGGGCGTATGTTTTTTATTCCCTATTTAATATAAGAAATTACAAAAAATATTTATTTAAGTGTAAATAGAATTATAAGTTCAAGTATTAAAAAATTTAAATATTTATTTTTGTTAGAAGTTATCATAAATGTATCATATGTAGTTACCACCATAAATAAAAATGGTCGAATAATTAGAAAAAAACACGTAGATGCCAAATCACACACATTACACTTCCAATTTTCTTCTTTCACTTATTTGTTACTTTTCTCAAACATTCTCAATTAACAATTTTATTTTCCGTCTAATGTCTCCTTTTCCTATTTTTCTGTTCATTAATAACAAATATGAGCATGACACCAACACGATTTAAACTGTGACCATGCTGGGTTGAGCCTATAATTTTTTAAAATGGGTTGGCTCTTGGCACGACATGAACAAAAAATGACGGACAGTGCCAAGCACGACACAGGATAAAAGGGCCTGGAGTGTTCTCGTATCGTGCTAGCCCAAGCATGGCCAATCCCAGGTACAACAATGAGTCGGTTGGACGGACTTCTATATCAAATTTACCCACCTGCTTATTAACAAGTTGATATAATTGTAACTCGTGATCCACCTTATTCTACTTCGGGTTGGGTTGGTGGTGAGTGAATGCAATTAGAATGAGGGTTAACCGACACAAATAAAGTTGAGTTATATTAATAGTAAATTCCTCACAATCATGAACATAATAGTCATTTAGACACTTCACACTTTGTCTCCTGTGGATCTGTCTATACCTTTGTGACTTGTAAAGGGTTTTACTACTTATACCAACTCTTCAGTTTGCTCCTTTAAAGGTATTTTGACAAAGAAAAAAGTCAATGACCACATATTCCTAGGGACCAAGACTCGTTATGAGATTGGGTTTCAATTCTTTGGGAGAGGTATCAAATCTATCATTACTCAATTAACTAAATACGTAAGAAAAAATTTGACGCTCTTTACGACTTTGATACAATTATTAGTTTACAATTCGTGTATCAATATCGACTACACGTTACACAACATAGTAACCAGCCGTAATAGTTCAAAAATATTTTTTATTTTTCATTTGTATAAGTTGATTTTAGTGTGCTGTACAATCAGGATATATGGCAACTTTTCGATAGCATAAACAAGATTTAATATTTTCCACGTGAAAGGAATGCGGATCGTTCGAGTGACTTGCAACTCTCCCAAGATAAACCAAAATTAGCCTACCCGACTAAGTGTGGGTAAAAAACTTTCGATCTATGATCCACTCATATCAACTACACACCTATTACGATCCGGGTTATTTGCGGTTGGATGGATGTTTGCATTGTATGGCTGTGGCGTGTAAAGCAAGTAATTATGTGGAGAGCAATCGGATATCAGATCCAGCAACTTTTTTTTGTGTATGCGGCGTATCCACGCCCATCTTGATCTTAGATCAAATAAATTGGTGGTCGTTTTTTGTTCTCAGCGCATAGAATGAAATGATACAAAATGGGGACAGACATATAATTAGAAAGGGGTCATTTTCCACGATTGGATGTTATAACTTTGGAACAAGCTTAACAAATTATAATCTGCCGTCTTCAACGATGGTCTTATATCATTAATGAAATCTGAAAATAAACCCCACGTGCGGCTCATTAGCGTGTGTGAAAATGGCGTGGAAGTACTAGTGCAGGAAATGACCTGCGATTAGTGGGAGTAATCTTATCTAGTACTGGAATTTTCTTAATTGATTTATCACAAACCGTGCGGCTCATTAGCCTTCTACACATAATCAATTTACGTGTGTGATTTCGAACAATTTGACTCGTGTTAGACATACTAGGTCTGTTTTTAACATTCATTTGGGTACTTTAGTTATTGTTACATCAATCAAGGTGATTACATCTCCCAATACCACTAGACACTATGTCATGCAACATCTCTTGACGACATGCACGATTTCAAAAGACAAAATTCATAAGTCATGACACACCACAATAGTGTCATAGCAAATTAGCAATGATAAAAGTTAATACATATTACACAAGGGTCATGAAAACACTAGGCATCTACATAGTGTGATGTACCACCGAGCACAGTTTGATTGGATGCGTATCGTAGAAACCACTTATGTCGTCCGATGAGAATTCTGTCGAGTGGTCGTATCAAAGGAGCATATCCCATTACAAATACAATGAGATAAGGCTGGCAATGTAAACCCATTTGGTAGGGGGGGTAATAGGCAAGTACAATTGATCCTTATTGTTTGTGAACGCCCCAAAATAAAAATGTTTCTAACAATCAACTACGAATAGATTAATACTAACGACTGGAATGATGTAATAGCAAAGTGTACATAACTCCATTTTTCGTCCTAGTTAATAATTCGATAACTACACTCATCAATCAAATTAGACCAATCGAACACCCAATCCTACAATGAGCATGAATGTTGGAGCCGAGCAAGATGAGTGAAGTTTGAAGGTAAATAATGTTTTTTTTTACTTCCTTCATCCTTATGGTGACAAAAGAAGAATGTGAGTTGACTCAGTCACCAAATGAATAGACTAGTACTAGTAAATGAGTGTAAGACCATCTCCATCCCTGCAATAGGTTAGCCATTTCATAAATGGACCCCACATCCACATCACCAACTTTAGCAACTATTCAATTCAACCATTTCAAACCACCTACGTCTCTGCAATAGGTTAGCAATTGCAATTGATGGGACCTACTACATATTCTTTTCCTTAACAATACATTTTATGTGTACAAAGTGGATAGAAAAGAAAGAAAAAAAAAAGAAAGAATTTGAGTGCATGAATGTGTGGGTCCCAATTGTTTATGTGGCATTGCAAAGGGGATTGCTTATTTAGCAATCTTGCTAAATAAAAAAGAAGTGCTACATTCTTGCAATTGCTTAAAGCTATTGCCACATAAGATTCCACCCAATAAGCAATTGAATGGAGATAGTCTAAAACGTAACACCCTTAACACTAAATTATATATTTCCATGACCAATGTGACCCATCATATCCTATCTCCATTCACATTAGTCATCACAAAGAAAATGAGATAAAGAAAAGAGGGACAAGAAACAAAAAGAGGGGAATTGCCAAAAAAAAAAAAACCCCCCAAAATCCCAATCATGTCTTCTTCATTTTGCCGTTATTAGAATAGTACTTTCACCCCAAATCCCTTTCCCTCCATTCTCTCCCATTCTGCGAGCCAAAACTCACCTAATCTCTCCCGCCAAAACCCCCATTCTTTCCCTCCCTTTTTTCCCTCTTTCACACCCTCAAACTCCTTCAGCCACAAAAACAAATTGGCGCCTATTTTTCCCCCCTTTTCCGTGCTGTTGCATTCCTTCAGTTTTCCCACCTCTTCAATCCCTCCATTTTATTCACTTTCAAAAATTTCCGACTTGAATTTAGTTTTTTGACTAGATCTGTTCATTAAGGTGGAAGCAAATTTCAACTTGGACACAATCATTTGCACGTTCAACTAACCGTAGAACCTAATACGAAAACTAGTTTCAATAATCAACCTGAATATCGCATTCAACTGATTCAACATCGTCTACCACTTACCTACTCCCAAGCTGGCTGAGGATCGCACGAGTATTAGCTATGTGATTAATTCTACAATGACAAGAGGCTTTCTGAATTTGTACGGGCACTTCTCCTCTAGTTTATTTGTAAACCATATTGACAATCAGGAAGTTTCTATCAGTTCAAAACACATTCAATGCTAGTTCCATTTATGATACTTCCTTGACATGCATGATCATATATGAGCAACTTCACTTTCCATCATCTCACATTCCGATGGACCCAAAAAAATTTGTTTTTTTAAGAAAGCCGGGCAATTAACGTCCTAATTTGTTAAACTAATCAAACGCTTCATGGATCCAAATATTTTGAACACCAAAATCAAATCTTTTTTTTCCAAATTGGCCAAACCCTAGAAGGACCTAGGCTTGGCGGGATGATGGCTGCCTTTTTTTCCCCTTTTGGAGGTCAAAAAGAGTTTTCTCATCTCACAAGGGCGTTATGGTAATTCAACGAAAACGAGGGCGCGCTAGGGTTTCCTCCCTCCATTTATAAACCTCTTTTTTGGATCGCTGCCGTGCGGGCGTATTAGTTGTAATTGTCGGTTCGATTCCCTCTCCTTTCTCTCTCATTCTTCACTTCCCCCTCTGCCTCCATTTTTTTCCCTCCCAGATCAAATTTCCGATCATCTGTTTGCCTCCGTAACCATCATCAGATTCTCTGATCAGTTCATCTTCTCTCTCGTTCATTCCCCGCCCCCTTCCACCTCTCTTGAATCCGATCACGATCACCTAATTGACTCGATTTGATCATCTCCCTCCAAATTTTATCCAGATCTCTGTTCTTACAAGCTTCTACTCGATTCACTACCCAGCTCGAGTTCAGCCTCTAATCAGGGAACTTGAGAGCTACCCACTTCATCTCGCAGCCATTCCCGACCTGGGTTGCTGTTAGATCTCGAGCACACCCGTCACAAAATGATCGATCCGAGTGACAAAGTGAGTTCTACCTCTCTTTTCTCCCTCTCCTCCCCTGATCTCGATCTCGCTAATTATAACAGCTAACTAATCAAAGTCTATTTTGTTTTCAGATGGTGGACTATGCCGACGACGGCAGCCGGAGATCCTCACCGGGAGGAGAAGACAGCTCACAGAAGAAGACATGCGCCGATTGCGGAACAAGCAAGACCCCTCTCTGGAGAGGCGGCCCTGCAGGTCCCAAGGTAAATTAATCACCACTAGCTGTATATTCATGACCGATCTCCGGTTCATTCTCCACCGTCCGATCTCTGTTTCTGATCCTGATTTGGGTTTGTCGTTTTCTGCAGTCTCTTTGTAACGCTTGTGGGATCAGGAGCAGGAAGAAGAGAAGGGACATACTAGGGTTAAACAAATCGTCATCCAACGAGAAGAAATCAGCCGCGAAGAAGACCCTAGCCCATGGCGGCGGCGCCGCCGGAGGGCATCACGACCGCAACAGCAGCAGCAAGTTGGTGGGAAACGGGTTGAAGTCGAGATTCGTGGCTTTAGGAAGGGAAGTGATAATGAAGCAGCAGCAGAGATCGAAGGTGGAGAAGCAGAGGAGGAAGCTTGGGGAGGTAGAGCAAGCGGCGGTTCTGTTGATGGCGTTGTCTTATGGCTCTGTTTATGCCTAATCATTGTTGGGTTTTTTTTTGTCTGTCTTAATTAGGGGGTTTGGGTAATTAATAAGCAATAGCCCAAAAAGGATCAGGGAGAGGAAATTTGTATTAGCTGACCAAATTTGAGATTAGTAGAGGAGGTTTAGTGAGTTGGGTTTGGGTTTTAATGTGTAATCCATAAGTTTTGAAGGGTGCTAACTTTATTTGATGATTGTTGTTGTTAGGGTTTGGGTGGATAGTAAAAAGGGAAGAAATGTGGTGGGTGGGGTGGTGTTGAATTGAAGAGGAGCAAAAAGAAAGAAAAAATGTTGCAATGATTTTTATATATTCAATTCTATTCTATTCCATTGAGAAAATGGTGTTTTTATATATATTAGAAATTTGTTGTTGTTGGTTTAACAACTGTGGTGATGGCGATGGGTCTTTGGTTTGTTGGTTGTCGGATACCTTTTGCGCCATTGTTGCCAAAGATTCTATTATGCTCTCTTAACTTTGGCACTTACCTTAATTTGGGGTCAATCTAGCCCTAAATCCTTGAATGACATAAATTCTAATCGTGTGATATGTGGTATGGATTGGGACTTTGTCGATGCTTCATGGTGAATCTTTGTTCAATAGGAGTTGGGTTGCCAACTAGTTATTGAAATGTCTCAATTTCTTTGATGAAGTAATTAGTTAAAGGGGAAATAGTCACTACTTTGGACAGTGATGACGATTTAGACCTATCCCGACAACTATTCTTTCACTTGTTTTGTAATAGAGCGGGTAATACTTGATCTGGACATGAATGGCGAATGAGACTAGTCATTCCCCAACCTACATATGGTGTAAGGCATGTATGGGTACAATTAATGCATTGGACCATCTTACTTCATATAATTTAATCTTATGATATTGCGGAAAAATAGTTATCCCAATGTTGTTAGGCTAAGTGACTTGCAATTAAATAAAAAAGGTTATTGATTTCTTAGGTATTTAGTATTATAATTTCATTTTGACACGATCAAAGAGATGAATTTAGCATATGTATGACTAATGAAATTGATAGTTTATATATTAAAACAACAAAATAGCAAGTTAAGGAGGGGGAAAACTTTGATCGGTTGCCATTCTCGGTTCTAGGTAAAGAAACCAAGTATTTCATATTATATTAATGGAGTGTTTGGAATAAGATGAATCATGAATTCCTTCATTTAGGATGTCATATTAAAATCTTCATTACACATGAGTAATCATTGAAGATTTCATCTTCAAAGATAGTTGGAATTCAGAGTACGAGATTCGTAAAAAATTGACGAAAAGATTGGGTGCTTAGACCTAAGCCAACATTGGCGTGTAGGAACTTTATTCAATTTGAATCTTTTATCAAACAATGGCAAATCATTGTACTCTTGTGTTTCTACCAATAAAAATCGGATAAAACTACGACTACATTGAAGTAAGGTGCTAAGTGCAAGAACAGAGTGATTCCAAATGTAGATCCATCACTCGAGATTTTTATATTTTGTAAGTATTCGCAGTACAACAGTTTTAGGCCATTGACCGTACTTAATAATAATTGATCAGAATTCGATACATGATTGCATCATCATTGTTGTCATTGTTGGCAAAGGGCATTAAGTATGACCAACTTTATTGAGTTGGTGATAGGATTTTGGTAAAGGATGGGGAAGGTAGAGGGCAACAAAAGAAGTGTTTATGCTACATTCTTCTTTTCACTTAAAAGTGATGCCTCATATATAAGAGAACACGAGTCCTTTCCTTTCCACAACAATGGCATCTCTTTTTCCTAGCTTACAAGTTGACTTGTGGCTCTTGTTTTTGTTATATACCAACACAAAAGAGAAAACATTTCGCCATTTGGGTTTAAGGTTTTACCCTATTCTTTATTATATAAGTTATGTGGGTTGCTTTCGTACTAGTTTTAGAATGGGACAGGGAGACAGGGGAGAGGGAACAATAGCATCGAAGAATCAAAGGTTGTAGCAGAGTGATGATTACTTCACTCTCTTCTTATGGAATCTTCGTCCATGAATCTTGACAACAGAGAAAGTTGAATCTTTTCTTCTCGGTGCTTAAGTAGTCATGCAATAAATAACAAAAGAGATTGTAGTATGAGGTGTGTACTTTCTTGACCTAATCTCCTAATATAGTAATTTCATATGCCTATTTGGAATCTATAGATGTAATTTATTGATGAATCATATACAAATACTCTCTATTAAGTTTCAGTCATCACTTCTAATGAAGTTGATGATGTCTTTATATACTTAGAAGCATATATTATCATAGTTGTTTATCACGTCACATACGATGATTGAGGGACATCATTACACTAAGTTTGTGTCATATATATTCGTTATCAAGCATGCGTCTTAATATAACAGTGTACACTAATACGAGTTTGCCTCTATGCAAACTAATATAATCTATAATATTGTGCATTTACATACACAAAAAAATAGAATTAATTAAATTCACTCGAAAACGCGATTCTACATCGCTTGTTTAGACTTGTATGACAGAGACCAAACATCCCGGAAGTCTCTATATATCTTTGCACCTGCCAACACATCCCATCTCCTCTATGGCTATATCCTCCTCTTTCCTAGGGATAGCAATCAAACCCATGACCGCGGGTACCCGACCGCCCCCGACCCAGTCAACGCGGGTAATTCCCGCTTTGACCGGGTATGGGGCGGGTATGGGTAAAACCCGCAAAAAGTTTGATGGATATGGGGCGGTTATGGTTTTAGCCTCCCCGCCCCATACCCATATCTGCCCCACCAAGAGAATTTCTTCACATATACAAAAACATGTGGATCAAATTGTAATCTATCAATGGTGATGAGGATAACTCAAGGAAATAAATAGTAGAAATGCAATTGAGTGACCACTTTAATCAAAACCTAATTCATTTCCCTCAATTCTCCTTTCACTCTTTCACTTTCCCCCTTGTCAATAAGATTATGTTAGTTAATTATTACTTAGTAGATGTATAAGAGTTAGAACATAATAATTTGAAAAATATTATACTCTATATTATGTATTAATGAATGTTTTAGGATCATATTCTTTGAACAATATTAAGAAAATGATCGTGTTTTGTTGAATTCGTGATATAATAGGTACGTTTAGAGTTGTAGTTAAAACTTTTCTTGTGAATTTTTGGATAATAGTGTTGGATGTACGGGTACGGGTATTACCCATGGGTACCCGAAACCCACGGGTATGGGGATGGGTTTGCCGAACATTCCCCGCATGAGTATGGGGCGGGTATGGATTTGGATATTTGAAGATGGGGATGGGGATGGTTTAGACAAACCCGCCCCAAACCCGCCCCATTGCCATCCCTATCTTTCCTAAGCTATCTCTCCGCCTAATCAGTCCATGTAGACCACATTTCAACCATGTCATCAACCGTAAAAATCGAGATTATGGTGACGTCAACTCATAATTCTAACATTTATGGTTTGCAACTTTCTAGTATACATTATGAGCCAAACCAAATGATAAGGACTGTGGTCCAATAGTAATAGAAATCTTAAAACCAACGATCTAATAATCAGTTCGGTCCATTTTTCCTGTAACATTTATAAAATTCATCAGACTAAATACGCGACCATATTTTATTCGTACTGATATGATTAGATCAAATCGTTCTACATCCTAATAACATTCAATGAAATATATGAAAACACAAATGACTTAATTACACTCACATAGTTGACAATATTATTATCATTAAGAATAATTCATATTAGAAATGAGATGACATTATGACACTTTTTAAAACTGAATTGCTAAATGTCGCCCTTAAAATTGCTAACGGTCGCCCTAACTCTAATGATAAATTACTTATATACCCCCAATAAAATTTTAAAATTTAAACAAACCAAACAATCCCTAACTCCTCAAATTGAACCCTTCATCTGCCTTCTTTGCGAATCCCTCTCGACGCACCAGTCCGCCGACGCCTTTCTTGCCGTCGTCGTCGCTCGTTCTCTATAAAAATTTCCAAAAAAACGCTCAACCTAAGGCAAGTTACGGTTGGTCCATGGTGCAACCGCAACTCACTTGCAGTTGGCCCATGGTACAACCGCAAATGAGCTACGGTTCCCTTTTTTTTTTCTTCAATTTTTGGAGTGAACTTTACCGATTCAGAGTCGTTAGTCATGATCCAGACGTCCTATCGACGATTCCAACTCCAGAATGACGATGATGGATTCTCTGTTTTGAATAATGTTTTATTTTCTTTAATAAGTGGTGTTTGTTTGCTAAAAGGAGAGTAAAGAAGCTAAAATGTTAAATTTGTAACTTTAATGTTTTTTAGGGCGACATTTAACAATTTTAAGGGCGACCTTTAGCAACTCTCTTATAAATTCGTTTGTTCTGGTGGTATTTAATTTGCGAGCCTTTACTTCAACAAGAATGGCACATACAGTTGCCAACTGCCGCACCAATTATTGGCCGTCCGCTCCCAAGCCGGAGGAGCTTGGTGAAAAAGAGCTAGCGATAAAATCAGATGCACCAGGAAGAAATTCCACCTCGCACCCTCTTCATCATCCAGCAGCGCCGACGGCATGGCATCGCCGGCGGCGGACGAGGATCTCCCCCAGGTCCTGCTAATTAAAAACCCGCCCGCCTTCGCCGTCTTAGGCGAAGAACACTTCACTTCCACCAAGTTCCGGTACTTGAAGGCCTTCGAATCCAGCCTCCCACTGCACGATTTCTTAGCAGCCCACGGCGGATCCGTACGGGCGATTCTCGCCTCTCTTTCCGTCGTCGACGCCAGCGTCCTCGACCTTCTGCCGGAGGTGCGCGTCATCGCCACCACCAGCGCCGGGCTCAACCTGCTGGACTTGCCCGAGTGCCGCCGCCGAGGGATCAAAATCGCCAATGCTGGGGACGTATATTCGACCGACGTCGCCGATTACGCCGTCGGGTTGTTGATCGATGTGCTGAGGAAGATCTCCGCTAGCAATCGCTACGTCAAGCAAGGGTTCTGGGCTTCTAAAGGAGACTATTATCCCCTCGGTTCCAAGGTTAATCAAACAAAACCCCCACCTCGATTTCACTAGTTGCCAAGCATTCTAGGGTTTGGTAAAGTTGAAATTCCAGGGTTTACTCTTCTGGGGGTTTCAGATCTAAGTTCACTAGTACTGGTGGTTTCAATTACAAGAAATTGAATTGACCCAATTGATTGATGGATTGAATGATCCTTCTGTTCTGTTTTCAGCTACGAGGCAAGCGGATTGGAATTGTGGGTCTGGGTCGAATTGGGTACCAAGTTGCCAAAAGACTCGAGGCATTCGGCTGCAGCATTGCATACAACTCCAGGAAGGCAAAGCCTGGGGTTTCATACCCTTTCTACCAGACTGTCCAAGAGCTGGCTGCAA